TATATATTATTTTATATATATAAAAATAAAAATATTATATGTATTTGTATGGTTATACATATATTAAAAAGACATGCTGTAAAATTTCCTGGCCACACAGGTGAGGAATTGGAAAGCCATACTGTTTTCTCCACATTATGCTCATAGCTAACCTTTATACTCTCATTACTCTAGTCCTTTGACCTATTTCTCCTTTGCCATGAGCTACACCCACCTAGCACATCTCTTAATTGCTTTGTAAATTTTCCACCTAATTAGTTTATAAGTTCTTTGAGGAACAAATTGCCTTTTACTGTATCGACATACAGTGCCCAGCACAATCTGATTGGGGCCTCTTGGCACTGCTGTAATATAATAATAAATCTTAAATCAGTAAAATATAATAAATGTTAACCTTCAGGGGCTCAGGATGTCTATGTACCTAGTAGTTAAAATGGAAAGTTTAACAGTACTACTGTTAAAAAATTTCTGTAGTTATCAGTAAAGGAAAAAGGAAAGTACCCCAACTCCCTGTCTTAACAACAATAAAATTTAAAAAAGTTAAGTACTCACTTGGCTTTATGAGGATCCTCTATTTCTAAATCCCAAACATAAAGTTTGCCAACCTGATTGCCGAGAGCAAGCATCTTTAAAGGAAAGCAGAGGATACAGAAGTTTTAAAATACTATCTCAAAGAATGGAAGACGGAATATCTTTATAAAAGGCTCTATAGCTGATAAATTGCATGTGAATGTTTGAACATGAATGACTTAATGAGTTTGTTGGAGGGGCTAGAAATGCTATAAAAATTTGCCTCCTTTCTCCAACTTTATTATCCACCGCTGCAGATGGGGGAGGAAGATACCAGTAAACATATCTTTAGTGGAAAATAAATATATCTTTGGTGGAACTTTTTCCATCAGGCAGTACCCAGAATGAAAACTCAAGCTCCTCCAGTTTCATAGAAAGCCCCTTGCAGTAAATCATTCTGCTTCTCAAACATCACATCACATGAGCCAAGACTTCCCATGTCCTTAAATATGGAATCAATGAAAAGCTACACACCTTCAAATACAGCAAAGTCAAAGCTCACACATACCTTTTGCCAGAAATCCATTGAAAACCTCATGTACCATATAACACACTGGCTGTAATCAAATCTCCCAAGTATGGTCACATTTGACTCACTGGGCTTGATTTTATCTATATCATCTTCCATTTTGCCAGGTTTCCAGCACACAATGGCATTTTCACAAGACTGGGGGGAAACAGTGAAAAAAAAAAAATCACCTATATTTACAATTTATACTGCACATTCAGTCTAACTATAATTATAACCAAACACTTCATCTCACAGCTTCCCCAACTACATTAAAAATAACCATAAAACTGAAAATCTCACCTCTGTCCTTAGATCACAGCCACATCACCAATAATATGTCACTGCCCGTTGCTAGGAGCCTGCTGCCCTCACAGCTTTGCCAGGTAACAGGACTGCGGGAGCCCTCCCTCACCCACTTCAGAGGAAGTCAACCAGATATGCTCAAACACACTTTCCTGAGCAGTTTAAATTAACCTAGACTTGAGGATTGTTCACCCAACCCCTTCAACCAACAGGACCGTGCATGCAACAATTTCTGGCAAAGAGGCAATAAGACTGCTTAGTTTAGTATCTGCAAGTAAATGGTGGTGGTGGACACAACAAACACAAATCAAAGTTAGTTCATTATGGGAACCCTCATTTCTACCTTTAGCGGCAAGACCCCTTATCAGTATCTATATATTCTCTTTCTGTATTCTCTACCAATCCCTGTACTTTTAGCAGAGGTACAGCTGTAGTAATAATTTTATTTTAAGTACAAGCTGCTTATCCACACATCCCGACAGCTGACAAAATTCACAATACACTGCATAAAATCATTTGACCTAGCTAACTAAGTTAACCTACAACCCCAATTCTAGTAAAACTTCCACTGTTTAAGATCCTCAAAAGCAAATATGAGTAATACAGCTGAAATAGCTGCCACTTTACCTTGGAAAGAATTAGATCTCCCAACCATCGTACACAGTCAACATAGTTTCTATGTATGTCTCTTGTAGAAAAGTCAGGAAAGTGAATTTTCTGGGAAATAAAAGGCCTATGGAGAAAATTGCCAAGTGAGGTTCAGAGAAACACAGACGCACAAGTCTAATTTTTAATGACCAGTTTTAAGATATCTCAATGTTAAAAGGACAAGCCTGTCTTTTTTGTTGTTTTAACAGTTTTATAACAAAGTCGATTTTGTATGTTGTTTTGTTGTTTGTTGGGGTTTTTTTAAATAATGGGAACAGTCCCTGTTTTCATCCTCATTCCTAATGAAATAGCGTTTCCCACTGTACAAGACTGTGCAGAGACAGTGCTAAACAAAACCACTCCTTCAGATGCTGAATACAGCTTCCATTGACAGATACTTCAAGAACTAATTAAAGCTCAGTTTTCCTGATGCTGCTTCTGCAACATCTAAATTGTTAAATAGAAAAGCACACTAGAAAAAAAAAAACCTTAATTTAAAAAAAAGCACGCTAAAAAAGCATCATTTAATATTTGGTAACATTACCAAAAAAAGCGAGAGTATTTTCACAGCTAGTCTCATTGCTGAACATGTTCAGCGTGTTTTAGACTCTTCAATTCTCTCAATAGTTTAACTGGAAGTTAAGACTAAAAAGTTGATGAACTTCATAAAGGAGGATTTATCTATCACGTATCTAATTGCTATGTTTACTTGACAATTTGCTCATATCTGAGGTCAGATCAGAGAATGATGAAAATTAAGGTTATTACTACATAAACAGTTTTTTCCCCGCCCCAAAGTCAGATAACAGATACAATAATTAGCAATAAATACCCAATATAAAACTATTTGCTGTATTTAATTCCTTCCTAGAAATTTTGAGGTGAGAGAAAGAAAAGCCATTGACATCTTGAAACACAGTGAAATACAAGCTTTAATTAAGAATGAGAGAGAGAATAATTCCAGACATTTTCTAGTCAAGCAGATAAGAAACAATTAAGATATTTTTAAATAAGTGTGTCAGGATTTTAAATCTGAATTCAATAAAATTCTACTGAAGCAAACATCAATAAGACACATCTTCTAGAGAGATTCCATATCCAGCACAAACCCCAGGTCACTCACTATCCTCAAGAACTCCCAATTTGGATAGGAATTAACCTGGGCCATTGATGAGAATATTCATGTTTTGCAAAGACAGCCAAGAAGATGAAGACTACGTACCTGTTGGTTTTATTTGGGTTGTACTCATAAGACTCTTTGATGGCATTTATCATTCTCTTGGAATTAATTCTCCAGAGTTTTAGAGAGTGATCCATCCCACAGGACATGATTTTTTCACCAAGAAGATCATAATCCTATGTATATGAAATAATTTTGAGGACCCACAGCCTAAGCCGCATTATATCAACTCAGATTTTATTCCATCAAAACAGCATTTTTGGCTTAGAGAATGCAATAAAGCTGTGTATTTCAAATAGAAAAATACTAGTAACTTAATCCTGCTCACTGCAAACAAGCACAGTATCTTAATAATTATATTTACTCTCTCTCAAGAAAGAGAGACATATTCAACAGCACTGACAGACAATGAATCTACTGCTAGTGCTCCCCCCTCAGTAAATTCCCTAGGTTTCGTTTTATGGAGCAACTCTGGCGGAATTCCAGGGCTACGACACGGGTGATGACTATTTAGAACCACAAGAGAATAATATAGTGTCAGGTTTCATATAGATGCACCCCTCACCTTTCAGGTCACACAACAGGAATGGAAACAGTTCTTAAGAGCAGCGTATTAAAAGTCAGCTATTCTAGTTGATATTTGCTGGGTACCAGTGTCTGTTCACAGCCACTGAAAAGCAGCATAACTCACCTGAAATAACTTCTTCCCTTCACTACCATGTCTCTCAAGGCTTATTTGTTCTTGCTGCTTTGGCTTGGCAAGACCTCAAGAACTTCAAAAGTGGGACCATCATGAAAACTTTTTACTCTTTCTAGCCCCACTGAGCTCTATTTTGTTTACTTCTAGGCTGCACTGTGAGAAAACTAGCTACTGAAAGACACAGAAAGTGAACACCTGTCCTGTATATTGAGAGGTGGCCAGATCAAACCACCTTAGATTTAAACTTGTCTATCCCCTTAAAACAGTATTTATGCACTTCAGGGCTTTTTTAAGTAGGTATAATAGCAAAACAGTGCACAAGAGGATAAAAAGTTGCATATTGTAGGCTTACTACCCTTTGTAAATCTAAATCACTGCCCCACAGTCTTCCACTTACTGCACTTAACACCTCATCCCTGTGCCCTTCTACTCCTCCAAATATTGCAACCAGCGTGTCTGTCTGGATGTTCCACAGTCTCAATGCATGATCTATAAAGAACAAATAAAATTACATGCTGCTTTTTATATGTACATATGAATAATATATTTCAGCTTAACTACTTTCAATAACAGGTGTTCATGTAAACATCAAAAAGGCACTTAATTCTTCTTCACTTGTAAGAAACAACGGAACTGCGTTAACTAAAATTGCTATTACAACTAAACTATTGTTAGAGTAATTCTGTAACTGAGAAAGTGTGCCCACCCCCCTCCCCTAGGGACAGCTTCTAACAAAAATATACGTCGATCTT